GTCAACTATGGGTACAAAATCAATACCCGTTATTACATGAACCATAGTCTACACATTGTCTTTGAAGAAATAGTCTACTGAGGTTGAACAATTGGCCTAATTAGGTTAACAGTTACCATGTACTAGATAAGGTGATTGATAAGAGTCAAAAAGTTTATAATTTCACCTTGCATTTAAGCTTACTTTCCTTGTTATTTGTTATAATTTTGCCCAAAGTGTCCTCATTTGATTCATTTGTGTGTTTATGTGTAATTCTTGATGATTTAGATGAATTGAATATTTTTGGGGCATTTCGGATGCTTGTAGAGCCAATGGGAGTCAATGAGAAGATATGAAGGTGGGAGAAACACCTTTTATAGAGCCAAATTGTGGTGTGTTTAGTGGTCTTGGTCATTTGGACAAACAAATGCAAAAGTGGAGCAAAAGAGCAAGAAGTTGAAATTCCCGCACAAATCGTCAACTGTTCAGTATTTTGGCTATATCTTTGCGTAGAAATGTCCAAATCAAATGAATTTTATATCATTGGAAAGCTAACTTGAAGGGATACAACTTTGACTCAAGAATCAAAGGCTAATTCAAACGTTTTGATGGTGAAAAATGGCCTAGAAGACGGACACAGTGCACAGAATCTCAGCTGTGGCAACCAGGCAGTGTACACTGCTACACTGCCTGGTTGGCCACGGGTGTGGCCACGGCCGTGGCCACTAGGCAGTGTACCCTGCGATTCTAGCCACGGGATTGGCCACACCCGTGGCCATGCACGTGGCTAGCCTTCTTTGCTTGTATTTAGTCTTGTTTTTAGCCATTTTAACATGGTTCCAACCCATTTTAGAACCCTAGCTTCTCTCTTTCATTTTCTTTGATATTTTTAGGTTATATTAGACTTATATTTAGGTTCTTAAACATTTTGGAAGCTTGGATTGAAGCATTTAATCTTGGATTTCAAAGATTTCATATCCATTTTCTATAGATAAGTTGTACCTCTTTTATTTCTATTTCCACTTTGCTATTTACTTTCTTGCTTTATTGATTTGTTATCTTGTGTTTGTTTTGGAATTCTTTGTTGATTATGAATCTTGTGTTATTTTCATTATGTTTGTTTGATTAGTTCTCCTTGGAGGGAGGTAGGGATGTAGGTTAGGTGTTTATTGGTTGACTTTGAATTGGTTGAGAAAGAATGTTGATGCTTGACCTTGATGTTGTTGATTGACATGTTTATTTGAGTCTCGATTAGGGAGTGACAACCTAGTCTAAGTTTAAGGAGTTGATCAACCATGCTTCACCTTTGAGAAAAGGGGAGTGTGTGATGTTAAGAACACCAAGTGTTTGATGAAATGCCTCTTAGACATTCTTGAGTCATGAGAATGTCCTTGAATGTTCTAGGAGTGTGGGATGACCTTGAGAAAGGCTTCCCTATCGTTATATGACATCTATCATCTTTTAGCCCCCAATTGGGTTTCGCTATCTTGACTTACCTTTAGTTCCTATTTACCTCCAATTTCTTATCATTTGTTTTCATTGTAGTGTGTTGTTTAATATTGTGTTTGTATCCAAATCAACTGTTCGGTTTGGCTAGATTTCCATGGGGAGCATTAGTATCTTATGCTTGGAACACTAAAGCTCTACTCCTATCGCCAATCCTTGTGAGAACGATATCCGGTGTAAGGATACCCTCTTACACATCCATTCACCCAAAAGACTACTTCATCAGTGATAGTGCCTCCTGTGGAGGATAATTCACATTGCTGAGAAAAAAATCTAAGAAGTTGAAAATGCTAAAGAAATAGCTAATCTGGAGAAGTTAGATAGTTGATTATAATATCTCCCAGAATTGGACGGAGTCTTTCCTCTTTGTCATCATATAAGGACTACCACAGGTGATTGGATTAACGTAACGTTTCTCAATCTATAAACAATAAATTTTCATCTATAAAAAGTGAAAATTATACTAGTTGGGGATATGGTCTAACAGCCTAATGAAAACTAAAAATCTATAGTAAGTTTGTAAACTCTGTCCTTACATAGCAATGGCAAGAAGAAAAGCTAGCTAGATTACAGAAGCTTTTTCTCAATGGCAACTCTTCTTCTATTGCTCCTTTTATTAGCGCTCTTATTTTCATTTCATTTCAGCAAATTTCATTTGCAAGGGATACCATTAGCTCTACTCAATTCCTCAAATATGGTGACACCATTGTTTCATCTGGTGGAATCTTTGAGATGGGTGCCATTAGTAGACTTCATACTCTGGTTGTTTTAGGAATAAGTCTACTAAGGACACTGCCGGCTCAAAGCTCCAACAGAGCGTCGGCTGGTAGCACCAAGTCGTAGGGGCTTTATTTCTTGGGAGCAGACGAAAAAGGTAGAGAAAGTAAAGGTAGAGAGATAAAGCTTTGTACAAATAGTAGAGCTGTCAAAACGGACCAGCCCGGCCCATATGGGTTGGCCCGTCACGGGTTCAACTAGAAACGGGACGGGACGGGCCGACCCGTTTTTTCACGGATTGGGATTTTCCCAACCCAACCCGTGTAGGACGGGCTGACGGGCTAAATGGGCCAGCCCGTCAGCCCGTTTATTATTATTTTTTTTTTTAATTTACGTGATTAAAATATTTATTGTAGTATTGCTTAAAATTTGAAGCCATGGCCTCTAAGTTAGTAACCAAGACTATTTCCAATCAACCACATTAACCATGGTTAACAAATATGTATATACACATATAAAAGTAGATTTTAGTTTTTAATATGTAATTATAAATTATTTAATTTATATTTAATACTAATATATTTTACATGTAATATTTTTTATTTGTAATTATAATATATAGTATTAAGTTATAAAGTTTATAAATATATAATTTATTACTTTATGTAGTTTATATAATAAATAAACTTTAAATTAATATTTATATAATGATACAATTAATTGTACTAATTAATATAGATATATATTTAGTATTGCTTGTGAATGATGTAAATAGATATATAATTACATTAAAATGTTTAACATGTGTTCTTAGTGTAGTTGGTTTTAATAGTAATAATTTAATAACTTAAATAAAAGATCAAGGGTTCAAGTCTTGTTAGCAACAATATTTTTAAACATTAATAAAATACCCAATTATACAACACATTTGGAAGTGGGGTGGGTGGGGATACGGGTTATACGGGCCGGCCCGTGTAACCCACGGGTCAACCCGTATAACCCGTATCCTCCACGGGTTACACGGGACGGGTTGAAAACGAGACGGGCTGAAAATCCTCCAACCCAACCCGTGTAAAATACGGGTTAAACGGGCCCAACCCGACGGGTTGGGCCCGTTTTGACAGCTCTAACAAATAGTCAGGGTTTTACAATTGTATATACGTACAGTACAGATGGAACGGTTTCCTTAGAAAGGGCCAGTAGCCCAGTAGCATGGGGAAAGACAATTGTTATACTATGTACCAAGGTTCATATTCATTGTGAATATTGATACAAAAATTTTGTATCTTCAATTCACATATTTTATATTTACAGTTTAATAATTTTTTTTTACATATATGTAAATAAATAACTTGATAATTGATGACAGGAATTATCAACTGAATGTGTAACTTATAGATACAGAATCTGATTTGATAATTGCTAATACAAAATATAATTGTTACATGTACAAAACTTTTAACTGTATATACAAAATGTGTCAATTATAGATATAGAATCTGAAAGTTATTTTTGGACTATAATCTACAAGACAAGATAAACCCTAATCCATGGTCTAATTTGTCGAGAAAAAGTGTCTTTGCATTTTGCAGGACACACATGAATTTTCAAAATGCTTAACCCAAGATTAGAGCTCATCCTAGCCCAAACAACTTGTCCAATAGATAGGAAGGATTCAATAAAAAATACATTATTTGAAAGTTCACTATTTGAGTATTACTGATAGTATATAATACTATCAAATAATATATATTCAATATACAAATAATGTATATTTAATATATTAAAAATATATTTTATATTTAAGAAAGTACATTATTTTATATAATGTACATATAGCATACAAATAATATATTTTTAATACATTAAAAATATATTTTTTTATAGTCCACATTAAAATTTATTCAATAACAATCCAGAGTTTTCCCATAAATTAAAATTGGAGAAAGACTAACAATATGTTTAGTTCAAAGAAATGAATTTATTAGGAATAAGAATGGTATTCATAAGTAATGGAATAACTCGGAACAAAAAGGCTAACAAATAACGGAATAGGCCTATTCTGTGATTCCATTCGCCTATTCCATTATAGTAATAATTTCATGGCAATTTTCCAGAGCATCAGCAAACAGATGAGGGAGAAGACTGAGGAGTAACAGCGCAGCCGCTCGTTCGGTCCACGGAGAATAATGAGGGGAAGCAACACGGAAATTAGGAAAATGGCGGACATTACTGAATGCAGAAATTGGGCTGATGATCAATTGCCAAGGACTGGATTGTTGATTGCAAATTGCAAATTTCAAATTGCGGGTGGATCAGCAGCCAGGAAAGGAGGCAAGTTCAATTTCCGATCTCCTCAATTTAGTCTGTTAATTTTACCTTTTAATATTTTAATTTAAAAGATAAATAGAGCAGAGTTTGTCTGTTGTATGAGGTAGGAGAAGAGTCATCTTCTTGGCGAGAAGTGAGAAGAATTAACGGTGGAAATGGATATATGAGTAAGTGTGTGAACTTTGAAACCCATATTTTATTGAATATTCTGTGATTTCATTGTCTTTGAAGAAATAGTGTAGTGGGGTTGAAAAATTGGCCTAATTAGGTTAACAATTACCATGTACTAGATAAAGTGATAGTGCCTCCTGTGGAGGATAATTCACATTGCTGAGAGAAAGTCTAAGAAGTTGAAAATGTTAAACAAATAGCTAATCTGGAGAAGTTAGATAGTTGATTATAATATCTCCCAGAATTGCACGCAATCTTTCCTCTTTGTCATCATATAAGGAAGTCTTTCCTCTTTGTCATCATATAAGGACTAACCACAGGTGATTGGATTAACGTTTCTCAATCTATAAACAATAAATTTTCATCTAGAAAAGTAAAAATTATACTAGTTGGGGATATGGTCTAACAGCCTAATGAAAAGTAAAAATCTATAGTAAGCATGTAAACTCTGTCCTTACATAGCTGACAAAATAGTCAAGAATATGAACATGAAGAAAAGCTAGCTAGATTACAGAAGCTTTTCTCAATGGCAACTCTTCTTCTATTGCTCCTTTTATTAGCGCTCTTATTTTCATTTCAGCAAATTTCATTTGCAAGGGATACCATTAGCTCTACTCAATTCCTCAGATATGGTGACACCATTGTTTCATCTGGTGGAATCTTTGAGATGGGATTTTTTAGCCCTATCAATTCCCAGAATATCTATGTTGGCATATGGTACAAGCGCATACCCATTCGCACTGTAGTTTGGGTTGCCAATAGAGATTCTCCCCTCTCTAATACATCATCAGTAGCCTTGCAGATCATCAGTCCAGGCTGGCTAGCTCTAGTTGATGGCAACGGCGCTGATATCTGGCATACTAACACTTCTAGACAAGTCCCAAATGCGGTTGCTAAATTATTGGATTCTGGTAATCTGGTAGTGATCGATGCAAATGATGATAACCCAGAGAGTTTCTTGTGGCAAAGTTTTGATCATCCTACAGATACTCATTTGCCAGGCATGAAACTCGGGAAGAATTTCATTACTGGTCTTGACACAACTTTATCGGCATGGAAGTCAGAAAGCAATCCAGGGATGGGGGAATATAAACTTGGTGTTGATCCTGCAGGATGTCCACAACTCATCTTAAGAAAAGGTAGACAGGAAGTGTCTCGATGGGGACCATGGAATGGTTTGCGTTGGAGTGGATTATCTGGAATGTTAAAAAAGGGCAAGATTGCTGAAATTTTTGTAATCATTAATTCAAATGAGGTTTCCTTCAATTATAATGTTTATAATCGCTCAACTTTGGCCAGGACGATCCTGTCAAATGTTGGGAGTGCAGAAATCTATGTATGGGAAGATGGAAAGGGGGAATGGAACAGTCTCCGTAAAATACCAACAGATGTTTGTGACAAATATAGACTATGTGGGGCATATGGGAGTTGCGACTATAATAACAACGCTGCTTGTGAATGCTTGGATAAATTTTTGCCTAGAGATCCAGGAGCATGGGGCAGGACAGATTTTTCTGGAGGTTGTGTTCGGAGGACACCCCTAAAATGTCAAAATACATCCTCGGATGGATTCGTGAAGTACTCTGGTATTAAATTGCCAGATACTCGGTTTTCGTGGTTCAATAGCAGTATGAACCTTCAAGAGTGTGAGCAAGTTTGCCTGAATAATTGCTCTTGTATGGCTTACTCAAGTTTAGATATAAGCAATGGACAAAATGGCTGCTTGCTTTGGTTTGGAGATTTGATTGACATTAAAGTTCTACCTGTGGATGGGCAAGATCTGTACATAAGGATGGCTTCTGCTGATTTAGGTATGCCACAAATTCAAAGTGACCATAATTTATTATGAATATTCTTGCTGTAGCATGTTCCCACTAATCCAAAGTGACCATCTTTCTATAATCCTTTCTGTTTTTATTTTTTTTATTGGTAGATTATCCTTCAAGCTCAAAGGGAAAGAAATCAAAAGTAATAAAATTGTGTTCATCAGTATCGGTTGGAATTCTGGTGCTAAGCTTGATCCTGACTTTGATCATAATATTGTACAAACGGAAAAGGAGGGAGTACCACTTAAAGTTAAAATGGGAAGAAGAGCAAGCATTATTTGAAGTATGTACAATAACAAGAGCTACTCATAACTTTTCACTCGAGAACAAGATTGGAGAGGGAGGATATGGGCCTGTTTACAAGGTAACAATATTTTATCATCCAAAATTATATTCATCACTTTCTACAATCTACAATCTAAAACTTTCATTTATAGGGTGTTTTGGACGATGGAAAGGAAATAGCTGTGAAACGGCTTTCAAAGTTATCTAAGCAGGGGCTTGGAGAATTTAAAAATGAAGTCAATTCTATTGCTAGACTTCAACATCGGAATCTTGTGAAACTTCTGGGATGGTGCATTCAAGGTGATGAAAAGATGTTGGTCTATGAATATATGCCAAACAAAAGCCTCGACTCATATATATTTGGTATGATATTCACATCTAATTAAATTTTAATCAAATCTAGCTATATTTTTGCATTTGATCACTTCATCAATGTCAATTTGGATTGTAAATATTTTCTTTGACAGCATATATTTTTTTAACCAAGAAAGTGTGTGCATGCTTGGAATTGAAAGTACCCTTCTTGGATGATATTTTTCCTTTTAAAATAGAAATGTAACTAAATAGTATAAAAATCTTTGGCAGATGTTCAAAAGAGAGCATTACTTGATTGGTCGAAACGCTCCAACATTATCAATGGAATTGCTAGAGGGCTTTTGTATTTGCACCAAGATTCTCGACTAAAAATTATTCATAGAGATCTCAAAGCTAGTAACATTTTGTTGGATATTGATATGAACCCAAAAATATCAGACTTTGGCTTGGCAAGGAGCATTGGTTTAAATGAGACGGGAGCGAATACAAACCGAGTTGCTGGAACACTGTAAGATTTTAATTTCACTTTGCATTCATTTGTTTGCTTCTTTTTTTTTTATTTTTTTTATTTTTTTTATTTTTTTTTATCATTGAAATAGCAAGTTAATTTTACAAACATAGTGGTTACATGGCGCCGGAGTACGCAGGACATGGAATATTCTCTATTAAATCAGATGTGTTCAGCTTTGGTGTCTTGGTAATAGAAATTGTGAGTGGGAAAAGAAATAGGGGTTTTTCTCATCATCAAGATCACTATGAGAACCTTCTTGGCCATGTATGTCTCATATTTTCTCATATTTATTTATTAAAGTTTCAAGTCCTTGACTATTAATTCACATATACTACAGGCATGGAAGCTTTATAGAGATGGTAAATTGATTAAACTTGTCGACAAGCATTTGGATGAACCACGCGATTTGCCCCAAGTTCTAAGGTCCATCCATGTAGGCCTTTTATGCGTTCAACATTGCCCTGAAGATAGGCCAGACATGTCTTCTGTAGTTCATATGTTGGCGAACGATGTCGAGTTACCCAATGCTAAAGAGCCTGGTTTCTTCACAGAAGGAAGCATAATTGGGGGTAAATCTTCCTCAAGCACAGAAATGTCATGTTCTATAAATGAAGTCACCATGTCATCACTCGATCCTCGTTAAAAAGATATCATGTTCTATAATTTTTATTTACCTCAAACTTGTATTTTCTTTATGAACTTCATAGGGAATACTTGTGACATTGTGTATGAAGTTGAACAAAACTTTTATAGTAAAATAGCTTTATTGGAAATTTGTGTTTATTTTCATTACATGAGACAGATAAGTCAGAGTCTTCACTAGTTGAGACAAACTAGCTGAAGGTGATGAATCTTTGCCTTTAACAAGCAGCTTGAAGAGAGAAATAGAAAAGCCCATAGTGTTAATAACCCATATTTTATAAACAGAATTCTACTACTCTCAAATCTTCCTTCCCTACTACTCTCAAATCTTACTTCTTGATATGACGGGCTCTGATAAGCTATTTTATTTTTTCATGTGGATCCTAATATAAGTGTCTACATCAAGTTTTGTATGTGCGAATAAAAGTTGGGAGTAGAAAATAAGAGTACACATAACATTTTTCAAATTCCACTTAATGTGGTGTGCAAGAGTGGCCTGTTTGCTGAAATTTCTGTAAGAAAAATGCTTTATGTACTCCCAAAATCCTATCCCAATTTTAACTCCTACTTGTGTAGTTGTGTTCACGTTTGATTCGAGGAAGTAAAAAAGGAATGTATAAACATCATGATCCTTATTAAATTAAGCAATTAAGGCATGGTCATAAGGAGTAGAAAATAAAAATAAGAATAGGTAGTGCATGTAAAATTACTTTTTCTCTCTCTAAATTTTACTCCCTGATGTGACAGATTTTGATAAGTTATTTTTTTTTTTCCATATAGGTCCCAATATAAGTGTCTACATCAAAATTTTGTGTTTGGGAATACAAGTTAGAAGTTGAAAATTCTAAAGAAATAGCTAATCTGGAGAAGTTAGATAGTTGATTATAATATCTCCCAGAATTGCACGGAGTCTTAAGTCTTTCCTCTTTGTCATCATATAAGGACGAACCACAGGTGATTGGATTAACGTTTCTCAATCTATAAACAATAAATTTTCATCTAGAAAAGTAAAAATTATACTAGTTGGGGATATGATCATACAGCCCAATGAAAATTAAAACTCTATAGTAAGCTGTAAGCAACATTGTTTGTATGTAAACTCTGTCATTTTCCAAATGGTAAATGATGGAACTTATATAGCTAACAAAATAGTCAAGAATATGAACAAGTAGAAAAGCTATATTAGAGAAGCTTTTCTCTATGGCAACTCTTCTTCTATTGCTCCTTTTATTAGCGCTCTTATTTTCATTTCATTTCAGCAAATTTCATTTGCAAGGGATACCATTAGCTCTACTCAATTCCTCAAATATGGTGACACCATTGTTTCATCTGGTGGAATCTTTGAGATGGGCGTTGTTAGCCCTACCAATTCTTCTCACAACATCTATGTTGGCAGATCGTACAAGCAAATGCCTATTCACTCTGTAGTTTGGGTTGCCAATAGAGATACTCCCCTCTCTAATAATGCATCCCTTTTTATTCTTTTAAATACCTTTTTTTGATACATTATACTTCAATCTCAAAGGGCAAGAAATAAAAAATAATGAAATTGAGTTCATGTATATTGGTTGGAATTCTGGTGATAAGATCGTAATATTGTACAAACATATAAAAAGAAAGGAAGGAGATCCATTTAAAGTTGAAATGGGAAGAAGATCAAATATTATTTGAAGTATATACAATAACAAGAGCTACTTATAACTTTTCACATGAGAACAAGATTGGAGAGGGAAGATATGGCCCTGTTTTCAAGATAGCAATATTTTATTATCCAAAATTATTATTCATCACTTTTTACAATCTTAAAATTCCATTTAGCAGGTGTTCTAGATTATAGAACGGAAATAGTTGTGAAATGGCTTTTAAAGACTTCTAAGCAAGGGTTTGGGGAATTTAAAAATGGGGTCAATTCTATTTCCAGACTTCAACATAGGTTTATTGTAAAGCTTTTGGAATGGTGCATTTGGTTTATATGATTAATTTTGACGATTTCAGCAGCTGCAGCCTGCAGTGTAGTACGTAGAATTAGTCAACCAATACTTAGGGAAGTTGAAAATTCTAAACCAATAGCTAATCTGGAAAAATTAGATGCTATAATATAAATACAAAGAGTGAAATTCCATCACATAAGAAGAAAAGCTAGATTAGAGAAAGCTGTTATCAATGGCAACTCTTCCTTTGCTCATTTATATAATATTTGTAGTTTCATTTCAGGAAATTTCCTTTGCACACGAAGCCATTAGCTCCACTCAGATCCTTAAAGATGGCGAGACCATTGTTTCTTCTGGTGGAATCTTTGAGATGGGATTTTTTAGTCCTCCCAATTCACAGTATCGCTATGTTGGCATATGGTACAAGCAAATATCTGTCTGCACTGTAGTTTGGGTTGCCAACAGAGATACTCCCCTCACTAATACCTCATCAGTAGTGTTGAAGATTGTCAATAATCCTGGCTGGCTAGCTCTTGTTGATGGCAACGGTGCTGATATCTACTGGCATACTAACACTTCCCGACTAATCTCAAATCCGGTTGCAAAGTTATTGGATTCTGGGAATCTGGTGGTGATGGATGCATATGATGATGATAACCCAGTGTGGCAAAGTTTTGACCATCCTACAGATACTCTATTGCCAGGCATGAAACTTGGAAAGAATTTCGTTACTGGTCTTGAGATTAGTCTGTCAGCATGGAAGATGGAAACTGATCCAGGTACAGGGCAATATAGGACTATCCTTGATCCTACAGGATTTCCACAAATTGTCTTCTGGAATGGTAGAAACAAAATGTATAGATCAGGCCCATGGAATGGTTTGAACTGGAAAGATCTGGAAAAATGGGGTCTGTTTGTTGAAAGTTCTGTAACCATTAACACAACTGAGGTTATGACAACAATCACAACACAGTTTTTCAATACCTCAAACTTAATCAGGGTCGTCCTGACAAGCGCAGGGACTTTACAGATGGATATAGGGAAAAATGGGACAGGTAAATGGAACAGTTTCCCTCTTGTACCAGTAGATGGTTGTGACAAATATGGAATATGTGGGCCGTATGGGATTTGTGACAGTAACAAAAATCCTGTTTGTGGATGCCTGGATAAATTTGTGGCTAGAGATCCAGTAGAATGGGGAAGTTCAGATTTTTCAGGGGGGTGTGTTCGAAGGACACCCCTGAATTCATCTGAGGATGGCTATGGATTCAAGAGATACTCTGGTATTAAATTGCCAGATACAAATGTTTCAACATTCCATAAGAATATGACCCTTCAAGAGTGCAACCAAGTTTGCTTCAACAATTTCTCTTGCATGGCTTATTCAACTCTAGATATAAGCAACGGAGAAAATGGCTGCTTGCTTTGGTTTGATGATTTGATCGACACTAGAGTGGTAGTCATACTTGAGGACGGGCAAGATCTTTACATAAGGATGGCTTCCTCTGATTCAGGTAACAATTTATTTTAGAGAAAATTATAATTTATGCCCCTCCATAATATGTCAATTATCAATGTCACCCCTGAATTATTAATGGTGTAAATGTTGCCCATCAATTTTCAAAATGATACATATATTACCCCTAAATTTTCAAAACGATACATATATAAATTATATGTTGCCCCTAAATTTTCAAAACGATACATATATTGCCCCCCCCCCCCATATGGTACGGGAGGGGCAATATATGTACTATTTTGAAAATTGAGGGGCAACATTTACACCACTAATAATTCAAGAGTAATATTGATAATTGACATATTATGGAGGGGCATAAATTACAATTTTCCCTTTATTTTATTATGGATAATCTGGCTAGCTGTTGCTAAAATAATATCATGCATCCCCTTTACATTCTTTTTTTTTTTTTTTTTTTTTTTTTTTTGGTAGATTATCCTTCAAGATCAAAGGGCAAGAAATTAAAAATTATAAAATTGAGTTCATTAGTATTGGGTGGAATTCTGGTGGTGAGCTTGACCTCGACTCTGATCATAATATTGTGCCGAAGTAAAAGGAAGAAGATGCATTTAAACTTAAAATGGGAAGAAGATCAAGCGTTATTTGAAGTATTGACAATAACCAGAGCTACCGATAACTTTTCCCTCGAGAACAAGATTGGAGAAGGAGGATATGGACATGTTTACAAGGTAACAGTAATGTTATTATACAAAATTATATTCATTACTTTCTACAATCTAAACATTCCGTTTACAGGGTGTTCTGGATGATGGAAAGGAAATAGCTGTGAAGCGACTTTCAAAGACATCTAAGCAAGGGCTTGGAGAATTCAAAAATGAAGTCAATTCTATTGCCAAACTTCAACATAGGAATCTTGTGAAACTTCTAGGATGGTGCATTCAAGGAGATGAAAAGATGTTGATCTATGAATACATGCCAAACAAAAGTCTTGACTCATATATATTTGGTATGATATTCCCATCTAAATTTTAATGAAATCTACTTTTACATTTGATCACTTCATCAATGTCAAGTTGGATTTTGAATATTTTCCTTGATAGCATTCTTTTAACCAAGAAAATGTGTGCTTGGAATTGAGAGTACCCTTCTGGGATGATTTTTTTTTTTTTTTTTTTTTTGTTTTTTCTTTTTACATAGAGATGTAAGTGATTTGTTTAAAAATCTTTGGCAGATAGTCAAAGGAGAACATTTCTTGATTGGCCAAAACGCTTTAACATTATCAATGGAATTGCTAGAGGGCTTTTGTATTTGCACCAAGATTCTCGACTAAAAATTATTCATAGAGATCTCAAAGCTAGCAACATTTTGTTGGATATTGACATGAACCCAAAAATATCGGACTTTGGCTTGGCAAGGAGCATTGGATTAAATGAGACAGGAGCAAATACAAACCGAATTGCTGGAACGCTGTAAGATTTCAATTTCATTTTGCATTAATTAGTTTGCTTTTTGATCATTGAACATGACGAATTAAAATTTCAAACACAGTGGCTATATGTCTCCGGAGTATGCAGGACATGGGATCTTCTCTATTAAATCAGATGTGTTCAGTTTTGGTGTCTTGGTACTAGAAATTGTGAGTGGGAAAAGAAATAGGGGATTTTCTCATCACCAAGATCACTATGAGAACCTTCTGAGCCATGTATGTCTCGTTTCAAAGTTT